ATCATAAAGTAAATTTTCCAAGCAAGTGATACAAATGACAACACTTTGCTGTTAAAAATATATAAATTTTTAACATCCAAATTGTTATCGTAGATTAATAAATATCTATTTTAATCATTTATCTTTTGTTCTTTGATACAGCTAACAATTTTTAACAAATTTACCTAGAATTTATTAAAATCTATATGTTACATTTAATATTAAATTAATTTCGATAATTTTATACAACTTATAAACGCGACTAATATTGCAATCAGTTTTCAATAATTAAATATAAAATTCAATTTAAAATTAAAATTCAGTTTTCATTATAATTATCTTTTTGAAGTTTATTCATTTATTTTACTTAAATACATGTTTCATTTACATTTTATATTATTGATGACTTACATAGACTTCAGAATTTTTTAAATTCATTAAATACTATGAAATTATGGTAACAAAATTTTATACAGAGTATATACAAATAATTTTGATGAACGTAAAATAGTTAAAAATTATTCGAAATATTGTCTGAAAATGTACTTGCACTTATGTAGTATTTAGTAAAATCAATAAAAATAAATATAAAATTTATCTGAAAATTGAAAAGTGGAATTAACCGTAATTAATATGAAAAGTTATGTGATTATTTATTTATAAAAATCTTAAATTTAATCATAATTCATGATAAATATTATTATTATTATTATGTCAAAATAAACAAGATTGAAGAAAAAAACATATGGCTTTACTCCATTGGATATCGAAACAGAGCAATTTTATTCTCTTAACGAATAGTCTCCTCCGAACTGAGTTAAGAGCCTCTGCGTATTTCTTCCATCAACTTGCCCTCGTATTATCGTAATCGTAACGCAAAACCGGAAAGCCACATTATGTCATAAATATGATATTATTAAAAAAAAAAAAAAAAAAAAAAAATACGAAACTACATTTCATATAAATGAAGTAATTTGATATAAGCAATTTCATTTATTAAATATTATAAAGTAAAATGTTAAATGTATTATGTGTCCATGCTATGAAATTTTGTTCAACTTATTAATTTACCTTTATCTAGACTTTATCTTAATGGCATTATTATCTGTCTAAATAGCGCAAACGCATTCTCTAATAAGAAAGTTATGAAATGGCATAAGAATTTTCCAAAATTTAAAATGGTATTTAGTATATTGATTAAAAATAACTAATTTATAAAATTTATTCTATTAACATTGAGAACTAATAGTAAGTAGGTAATATAATCATTATATATGCTTATGATTAATTTAAGCATATTTTTACTTAGATAATATTTTCACAGTAATATTAAGAATAACATTCCTTAATAGACTAAAATGGTGTAATAAAAAGTTATATTTATTTTTGAATTATTATGATGTAGTAATATTATTAAATTATTAATTAGTAAAATATAAAGTAATTTATAAATTAAAATAAATGCGTTTTGAAGGGAAATTATGGTTCTAGGACATTTTTAAGGAAACAACTTTAACAGATAATATTCGACGTCAACTACTATAAATTAAAATGATAAAATATAATATTTATGATTATGTTAATTAAATAGATGCACCATTAAAATTGATATTTGTTAGGCAACAATCTTCGATATACTATTTAATTAATATAAAAAGGCTTGTTTGAAGATGAAATAAGCAAATGTTAATAAATATAAAGATAATGCATCCTAATGAAAAAATAAGAATGCTATTATGATTGATTATCATCTATAATGATTAAGTTTGTTTAATTACTCTGTATAGAGATACTTCATTATTTCAACAAATAATGTGGTAAACTTAATAGCCTACATAATGACGCATATTCCGTATTTATGAAAGTTATATAGAAATATATACCAAAGTACTTAAAGTAGTAGATGTGGAAGTTAGTGTCACATTAAATGAGTATTGCTCAGCTAGATATATAAACTATAAGATGAAAACTATTGAATACGAATAAATTTATTGATAAACTCCAGCCTCTCATACAATTCACCCGCTGAATAAAATAAATATTTCCTTAAATTATTTTTCCACATTCTTATATTAATAATTATGTCTACACATAGAGATAATAATATTGAAAAATATCGTTTAACATTTATTATGTTTTTAGTATCATACAAAAGCCATTGATATAGGTAAAAGTAATTTCGAAAAAGTTTATATTACTAATCATTGTACTGATTAAAGCAAATTGAAATTATAATAACTGTGATAAGCATAAATATTTTTGGTTTATAAAAATAATCTTAATGAACATTTTGTTTATATGTATTAAGTAATATATTGTATTATTTTTAGTAGTATGGAAATTAAATTTTACATTTTATAAATTTTACTTATATTTCAATTATTTAGATATAATTTATATTAGATATGGTTCAATACTTGTATTTGTAAATAATACGCATTTGTAAATAATATTCTATTTTATATCGCTTTAAATATTTAAATTAAAATAATCTTTTAAATCGTATTTTTTTTTAATTTTTTCAATATAAAAATATATACTGCTATATTTATTCAAATAAATTTTTAGATCGTGTCATGTGCAATTTATTATCTCCACGACAAGTACAGGATACTGTTATTTCTAAAAGAATTTTTGTTATTTTCAATACATATCATAATCATATAAGTATATACTTCTCTAAACATAGGTATGTACATGTACGCTCTACTTTATTGTGTTGTATAAGTCAGCAATGTCGTCGACGGTATTCAAAAAATTGCAAAACTCAAACAGGTTTCTGATGAGAATTTCAATGTGACTTTGTTAATATAGTACAAGTGCTATTATAATTAACTGTGTTATATTATAAACAATAAATTATTTTATTTTATTTGTTAGATTTTATATGTTATCAATTCAATTTATATCGTTTTAATTAGGATATAAATTGTGTAGCATAAAATATATCTCTTATTACCGTATAGTAAAAATATTTTAAAAATCTTAAACGAAAGTAAATGGAAAAAATTATAAAAAAACAATTCAATTAATGTGCCTAGTATCGATTTTCAATAAATATAAATGTAACAGTTTTATAAAATATATATAATTTAATTAATCTATAAACATATATTTTTTAAGAAAATTCAAAACAATTGGATTTCAAATTTTAATAGAAAAATGTATATTCCAAAGTTAATATATATATATATATATATATATATATATATATGAATTTAGAGTATAGATGTTAATAATAAAACGTTATTTCAATAACATAAAAAATTGTATGAGTGCAATAATAACTCAGTAAACGTATTTTTAATTTAAAAACTTTTTATGATGAAACCACTACAATTTTTAAACAAATTGCGTTATAAAATACTATTTTATCATTTTTAATATTATAAATATTTGAAACTTAATCATTAAATATAATTAGTTATATTTAATTTTAAATACATATTTATTTTACCAGCCCCATATTATATTATGTTATTTTATATTAAAATTTATATTAACTCGTAAGTAAATTACTTGTTAAAAATAATTTATCTAACATAAATAAACAGTTATTTTAACTACCTATGCTTATATTCCTATTTAAGGAAATATAAATATAAACACATATAAATGAATAAATATTCGAATGTAAAAAAGTTATATTTGCTAATAAAAGAAAAAGAAACTTTACATTTGAATTTTTTCAATATAATTCATTGTTATCAGTAATTGGAAAATGTGAATGTTATTTGTCTTAAGTCGTTTTCTTGAATAAATTACATAAATTTCTTCAGTTTATTTCCGTAAAATATTGTATGTAAGAAACATACGATAAAAACGCATAACGTACACACACGCACGCGCGCGCACCCACGCGCGCACACACGCGCCTATATATACATACGTTTCAGCATAAAACTCAAGTGAAACGAATGATATATACTTTTTAAATTAGAGCCTTTTCGTACGGAATCTACCGTATAAGCAGTTTTTTTCACATGCAGTCTGATTTTTTTTTTGTCTCTTCAAAGTTTAAAATATTTATAGCTGTTAATTTTATTTGAAAGTATATCAGATTTTTCAATGATCGCATATATTTTAATACCACACTATATATTTATTATTTAAAATCGAAAAATAATATAAAAATTAATACTTAAAGAGACACTATAGCTTATAATAGCCAATGCTAAATATCCAAAAGCTATCACCAGTTGCTAGTTTAACAGCGACAGTCGATTTGCATTAGTTATGATATTTATATAGACATTGTTCTAGTAAAAACTTGGATGAGTGACCGGTCGTTCTATTACACCAGAAACCCATATTTCATTTGCGTAAGGGTATGAGGTAAAATGTATGAGTCGGGGTGGCAATTCAAAGAATAAAAAATACTCCCTTCTTGTACTTAAACAAAATGCTTCATTAAATTATTTAAGTTTATTATATAAATTATTTGCAAATTTTTTTACTTTAGACTTTAGACGAAATAATTCAATTATACTTCATAATAATTCATTAGTGTAAAAATACAAAATTTGCATGTACTAATATCGTCCATGAGTCAATTACGATATGTATTAAAAAGAAAAAAATTTTTATATCTATTATTAGTTTTTTTGGATGTTATTTTTAAGAAAGTTAAGTTGGTAGTATATTGCTGATATAATAATCATTTTCTCGAATTTTGTCGAGACACAGATTCTTTTATTTTTTTAATTTTAAAATGATGGGTTTTCTAAACTTTATGTATGATTAGTAATCGTACCTGACATTCTTACCTTACTTTGAAATACACGTGCTTACGTAATATTTCAATAAACCAATACTTTAATATATATAGCAATGATTAAAAAATTCTATATAATACTAATACTATTTATTTTATAATAGTGTTTATTTATTAATTGTTTTCTTTATTTATATCTGTTGAAGAGATAATAAAAACGGACATTAAGATGAACCCGCTTTTTATTACGGCAAGATCAGAACGAGCAGGTGGCCGATCCTTAAGCCCATGAGGACTCTCAAATCAGAGCCTAAATCCATTAAAAGAAACGGAAAAAGAGTGAGTGAGGAGATCGCGAAGCCTTGGAAAGTGAAGGTAACGAAGTTAGCGCGCCAATTCCAGCCAAAAGCTTACTTTCGGCCGCAACTGAAGTCCGAGGGCCGTAAGAGACCTTGGGGTAGGGTCGCAGATGGGAGAGGATCTGGCCAGGCCCGGGAGGGTGTTCGGCCCAGGAGGTGAAGTGGACCGAGGCCTAGGGCAGCGGCAAAAACAGCGGCACCAGCAGCAGAAGCCGGAGAGGAAGCGCCGCCGCCTACAACTTGATCCCCGGCGCGGCCCTTCATACACTCGGCCGCGCGACACCCATCAAGCTGGAATTGATGGAGTTGGAGAACATCGTAGCCAATACTGTGTACCTCAAAGCGAGAGAAGGTCAGTGTACGTAAACCTTGTTCTCACCTTCTCGCTATATACTTAGCTTTTTTATTTCTTCGCAAGGGCTTTTAGTTCGTTCCGTTTGGGCTTGCATTTCAAATTCAAAGAAAACTTAGTACTTGGTATTATTGTGGATGAATTCGAATAATTAACATTAGTCTAATGATTTTACCGAAGGGATGAAATTAGTCCCAAGTATTTTATAATTTAAATGTCTCCTAATACTAAGCATCATTTCTCCATCAAGAATATCAGTATTTTGCTTATTTTTGGAAATACTAGAGACTGACGCTCAATGTTTATTATCCACTTTAAACTTATAAAACATTGTATAATTTCAACACTGAAACAGAATTGTAAAACTGACCGTAAAAATTTACAAATAGACTATAAAATAAATACATTATAAACACTAGACTTCAGCTTCTAAATTTCCTCAAGCTCATATTTCTTTAAAACTTATTCTCTTTTTCCAAAATGCTCATTTATAGATGTATTCGTGCTATCACAGTTCACTATTAACTATTAATTTGTTAGCAAAACTTTTATTTATACGTTGATAAACCTTTTTAATAAAAATTTTTCTGAAAATCATTAATATCTATTTCACAGGTTCCGTAAATATATCTAAAAATAATTTTTATTCCATTTTAATACTATTAATTAAAATATTCATTTTAGAAACTTCAAAAAGTATCTTAACACACACAAACACACACATACACACACACACACACACACACACATATATATATATATGTACACATAAATGGCTAATAAAAGTTACCATAACTATATGTTCAATGTAGATCTGACTAGTTGGAATTAGAATTAAAAGAAGCAAATTATCATGGATTTTTTAGATTTAACGGCAAATTTATTCTTCAAGAAATGCTGTAGGCATAAAAAAGGATGCATTCTATAAGTTTTCTATGAATATTTTCTAGCACGCTTACATAGGTGTTACTTTATACTTTTTATATATCTACAATTTATTCAAAGAATACTTTAGAGGTAAAGAGATTTGAGAATTTGTGAAAACATTTGTCTATTTATATGATTAAAGAAAATCAATTAATAAAGCCGGCTTAAAGATTTTTTTTTATTTTATGAATAAATTTGGTTAAATTCAATTAGAGTTTTTTTTAAATACTATTTGAAATAGATTAATTGATTTATTATCTAGTTATAAACAAGTAAGAATTGCTATATGGGCGATTTTTACGAATTATATAGTCAAATAATTGTATAATTTTTTAAATTTCCAACGGTATATAATTATAATATTATTTTCATAGTTTGTCTCACAAGCTCGAATAGCTTTTTACAATTATATTAATATTAATAATACATCTAAAATTAATGAATTATTTCAATTTCATTACTCAAATAAAAGTTGACGAGGACAAATAAATCGATATTTCAACAATCTTACTCTCGTAATAATGTGCCCCATCGCAATATTATATTACCATATTTTAAATGAATCCAATCAATTATTTTCCCACCAAAATTAATTATGGCTCAAGTTTTTTCGCCATCTGTCTAACGAAAAGTACTAACAAAGTGTAATATAATATACATACACGTGTATAAAAGTAATTTTTTTAAGTATAATTAAATAATTAAACATAACAGTATAATACTTCCATTTCATTTCACATTTCAAATTATGCACTATTGAATGTCGAAAAAATAAATACGCTGATCGTTCCTTATGCAAAAAGGGAAATACGACCACAAACAAAAGCCTTACACAAATCATCATGGCGCATGATATAGATATACCTACTCGTAGCATAAGTACATATACAAAATCTACAAGTATAATGCACACAATACGTATGCCGTAAATGGCTTGAAGCTTGAAGATAGGCATGTAGGTGATGAAGCGCGTGTACAAACGAACTGGAGCATCAGATATTGATTTTTCGAACGACCCGATGCGCGAGGCAGCAGCAAACGACCGAAAGAACGAAGCGATAATAGTTTGGTGGCTCTTCCTGACACTATACCCTTTTTTTCTTCATCCACTGTACTGATAATTCAACGAAAGTTAAAAGTGACGAATCAATGATCTGAAAATAGCTAATGAGAAGAAATTTAAATATAAATAAAGTCGGGGACACATAAATATGTCGTTCGGGCTGTATTATTCTAATGGATGGATGAAAAACGCGGCTTTTTAATATTACGTTTTGAACGTTAATTGACATTATTAAGTCAATATTACCATCACTTGATTAACGATAAAATGTACTACAAATTTAAGACAATTCTTATATAAAAGTTAAAAGGATCAATCACTATTTTTATGAAATTCGTAGGATACCGATGTTCTGTATACAAAATGATAACAATCAATTCCTATCTGTAATTAGTAGAATTTCTAGTTACAAATATAAAATGAGATTTGTCGAATGTTTAAGATTGAATGAAATTTGAGAATATCAAATATTATAACATTCAAAAATAATAAATTAAATTAACATATCATCTTATTTCTACCCACATTTATAATTAGAAAATCATACCAAAATTTATATTACCACAAAATTCAATATTTTGAACGGCATGCTAATATCCGAAATGAATATGTACTTATATTTAAATTTTCTAGCCATTACTTTAAATATAAAATTTACTATTATAGATTACATATAGAATAAAACTTTAAACTCATATTTATAGTTTTATAATTATGGTGTTCGCTTTATAATGTTTTATTGTCCAAGAATTTTCAGTGAATTTTTTATTGTAATTATGTATAGTATCGCTACATTATAATTCTACTTTGATAATAACATTTATTTAACGAACTAAAGTGTCGTTTCGAAATAATGTATTTTCACACATTTGATTATATTACCTATATTTAATAATGTAGCTTTGATTGTTATGTAGAAAACTTTTAAGATAGTAATAAATTATTTTGTGAATCGACTGAAAGTTCTAAATGAGTTTTGAACTATAAAAGTGACTATGAATTTTAAGTAAATGTAATATCGAATAACTTATTCAATATAAAAAGGTCTTACAAAATCTTGAAAGAACCCTACTTTGAATCTTATTATCGAAAGTATAAAATTAATTGTATTTAATTACAAAAATTAACGTTCTATTTACAGTCTGTTCTAAAAAGGCATAAAAATAATAAAAAAAAATTGGAAAAAATTTCAAAAAAATACCTACACATTTAAAATACTTTTATATAACTTATTTAATGATTTTATTGACAGGCACATAATTTAATATAATAAGATAAAAGGAAAAATTGAAATTTCGCCTTCGATTTTAGATATATAAATAATAAGATTTTTATTTTATTTGAATCGCATAATCTTAATTACAATGTTAGAAAATTTAGGATTATTATTATTATGTAAATATTTGTATACTTGACCATGATGTGTTACGAGGTACTTCGCTAATAGCCAATGCAATGACACCTTTCGTCTAGCTTGGTAACAATGAAAAACATTTCTGATTTTGCTTTAACACAGGATTAATTCATTTGTGGGAATTCCCGGCCCCCCAATATCCCCAACACGTTTGTTTTTTTCTATCCATTGACACAATATAAATAAAAAACTATTGTATTCTTAATGAAATATCGACGTTTCTGATTACTTGTTTCATATTGTTATGATTTCAAGTTGTTATTTAATGTTTATATTGTGTTAGTCGATTTACATTATTCTTATTCAATTTTTATATAAAAATTTACACTTAAGTAAGTAGTAAACAATTATTTATTTATAGGCTCATTTAAAAATTATAATGTAAAATCTTTACTTAAAATTATTTCTACCATTATGAAGGAATTGAGTTAATTTTCAATCTATTTATTAGAACTTAAATGTAAAAAGATTTTGAAGAATTTAAAATTTTGATAATGTATATAAATATTCTAATGTTAAAAATGAGAAAATAAAGAATTCATGATTCATATTCTCGTTAGTTATTAAGTTGAAAACTTGATAACTAAATGAATTATTTTATAGGCAATGAAATAGTTAATAAATAGTATTAATGTAACTAAAGATTAATAAATTAACATAAAATACATATAATTTGATTTATAGATCAATCTTTATACGTAACAATTGAAATTTTATTATCTGGAAAAATTTGCTTGGAAAAATAATACTTGATAATATGATTATACGCCATATAGATTATAACCCAAAATTGTTATACACTAACATTTTAATCTTGTTTACCGTATAAACTGTTAAACTATCTCAATTTAAATTATTCTTTATTTAAATACAAAAATTATTCGAGAAAAAATTAAAATTAAATGAAATTATAAATTATTAACTATTAAAGCTCACTAGAAATATTTTATAATAATGACAGTATTTATCAGTTAAGTTTTCTTTTTCCATAAAAAATTAATTTGAAATATGAAAAAATGAATTAATATTATATTCACACAGAGTAACTAACTTATAACTTTTTACTTATTAAATTACAAATATTGAAATAATTTTATATAGACCCTTTTTATTAAAATTATTGCAATGATTTGTATTGTATAATTAATTACACACGAAAATGTAAAGTATTATTTCGTATCGTATCAAAAGAATTTTAAATATCATAAACTTAATCCATTAAAATAAATTGTAAGTCATAAGTTCCTTCGGTTAAATAATTATTTACTAAGAATGGTTGTAGCCAATAATATTGTTTGTCATAAAAGCAGTGCTTAAAGTTCACTGTATTTTATGTAAAGAAATAAATATCGTCAAAAGTTAATGGTATTGGTAAATTGTTATATTTTTAATTTTTCTTAAAATATAAGAATTATAATTTTTGAAATTTTATATCTACTATTAAAACTATGTACTTTTAATCTACTTTTAAAATATTGTTTATAAATCAACTATGTAAATATTATTTATTATTTTAAAATTATTAAAAATCTAATTAGATATCTATAAAAATACATACATCGATTTTCTGAAATATATAAATAATCTATACATTTTATGCTA